CAGCGAAAGAGGAGTTGTGGGCTTGGGGTGGGATGTGTCAGCAGAAAAAAATTTTAAAACTTAATCCTTTGACTATCTTTTGGGTAATTTGGAAAGAGAGAAATAGGAGGGCATTTGATGGGGTTGAGAGGGATATTGTAAAGATTAAGGATAGTTGGTTTCACTTTTTTGGCACTATTTTTTAGGACACGACATGTATAGAATCAAAGATTTGAGATATGTCATAGATAGCATTACTGAGATGTAAATATTTTTGTATATAGGTTGCACTCCCTTGGTGTGTCTGCTAATTTTATTCTTTACATTTTTTATTTAAAAAAATGATCCTAGAATCTTATAATTTAGAAAGTTTCCTAAAGTTTAAAAATATATTTTCCTTATAATTGTTTTCCTAGTTTTCGGGATATAAATTTGGTATTCAACCATATAGATAATGTATTGTTGTAGGAAAAACTATATGAATAAAATTATCAAAATGATGGTTCAGCTCCTCCTCAATATTCCAAATTCAAATTTTCAAAAGAGGACACTAGGGTGCAAATCTGGTAGAATTGGTAAACAACTTGGAAACTAATCTTAATTGTCAAAAGTTCATTTTGAAGGAGGCTTGAAATGGTATTTGCCAATCGCAATTTGAGAAAGTTAAAAGTGGAATGGAATGAAGTTCACTCAGGATTTTGTTGGGGGGGCGGGTGTCAGCATTTCGAAGGTAGACTTGGCTTTAGGCAATGGTTATAGATCATGGCTCAGTGTGACGTTGGGATGATGACAGTCTATTAAGAACTGTTTGTTCTCTTTCCAATGATTGGTGCGTGTTGTAGAATATTTTGCATCGAGATCAGGTATGGACCAGTAAGAGGTCTTTGATGTTGGTGGTGGTGGCTGCATCAATCACTACATGTGGGTTGTCGGTGAACGTGAATCAATGGCTGATCGGTGCTTAGAGTTTTGCAATTTTTTCTCAAGATGGTTTAGAACTGTTAGGGTATGAGAAATTTTAGCTTTGTACCAGTTAGTATAGAAAAGTTAGGGTTAACTTGTCTACTTGAGGATTTATGAGTAAAATCTAGGCATTATATCTGGTGCTTCTTAGATATTATACATAAAAAATTTTAAGCATCATATTGTTACGAACATGATACATGACCCAGATCTGGAAGGTATGTGTTTCGGGTGTGAGAGAAAGAGTGAGAGAGAAATAAAAAGGGGGATCTGAAGAGAACAGATTAGCAATTAGAGTATGGGTAAATAGCAGTATGTAAGCTGTATTCTCCAGCTTGAGGGGGGGCTATTAGAGTAAATAGCAGTCAGGGAATCAATTGTAATTATTTACAAATTTAGGGTCAAATTTGTAAATAGTTGTACATTACATCTTGGGTATAAATACCAGTTAGTATTCATTAATGAAACAATCTCTCATTTTTCTAAACTCTGAAACCAGAGATTCTTTTTCATCTCAACTCAGCGTTCTCCATTTCCTTCTCACAATTTCATCAAATTTCTTGATTTCACTCAGCTTAGGTGTAGTTTGAGTACAGATTATCACCAAATTTGACATATGCTGACATCATGTGTCTTTCAAATAAGTTAGGAACATGTTCACATTCCAATGTACGTTGTAATTTGATGCAGAATATATATGGACTAGATTTTGCACCAAGATGGATATGAGCTTTATTTTCTAAATAGATTATAAACCATATTTCTAGCTGTCTAGAATTTATTGTTATGCGTGGATGGTATTAGGTTTTTGATGCCTTTATGGATGATATCATTCCCTTAGCTACTTGAACTTATCTAAAGAGTTTGTTTACTACTCTTAAACGTGAATTTGCCATCACTTTGGTTTTTTTTTTTTTTTTTTTCCAATTTTTCTGGGAATTTCAGTTAATGCTAACAAGGATGGTTCATTGTTTGATCAGTTCATGTATGATTAAGGTTTGCTTAAGCATATTACCAAATACTATTTCCAGGTCATTCCTACAAGAGGCCTACTACCAAATACTGGCAGTTGTAAGTTTGCAAAATCAACTCTTCATTGAAGCTTGGTTGGGACTCTTCAATATCTTACTTTTACCCATCCTGGTATCGCTTTTGCTGTAAGTCAGGCTTGTCAATTTTTATGCATAATACTAGATATGATCACTACCAAGCTATCAAACAGATTAGCAATGATTTCTCAACCTAGACCGGAACTGAAAACCACACCAGAGGATTGATATATTTTGGATCCACAATCTGCTCATGAATCCGATGCTTACCTAGTCCGACTTGTATTTCTTTTGCGACAATGTTAGCACTATATGGTATGATTTCAAATCTGGTACCATACCAGAGGTGCTACTATATAGAATGTTGAATTTGACGTTTTATTCATTTGAAAGTTGCGTAGGGATTCCTACTGATGATAAATTGGCAGATACTTCAACCAAAAAAACTATGTCTACTAGGAGCCAATCTATGCATTCACTCCTACTTGGATTGGGAAGTGATAATGGAATCAATGACACCAGTAATACATTCCATTTTATGTATAGCGTTGTAGCCTCACAACTTGATTCTTGTGCTTATACCACTATAAATACTTAATTTCTTGCACACATGAATTCACAATGAGACAATTGTCTGTAATTACTTACAGTCATCCGCAAAACATTCCCTCACTAATTGGAGAGTAATCTTACTGAGATCAGAGCGGGACATAGCTAAGATTGTATGGTAATAGAAAAGTTTACACATTTTAAAAGTGGGGCCAATATTTTTATAAACGAATGTAACTGCGTTAGTGGTTACATGTTACATGTATTATTTATCTTCTTTCAACTACCCTATTAATTTGTAAAAAGAAAATTATCTACTTTGCATTTTTAATTAAAATAAAGTGAATCAATACCTCTACCATTTTAGCTGAATGTCTGGTGAAGTGTATAGTTTGATGTCCGTATAGCTATTTGGAAATTTTCACGCAAAAAGATAAGTTTTCCTTAAGAAACATAAGCTAATCATTTTTTTTTTCCTTTTTATTCCACGAGAAAGATGGTGAAATTTTCCTCCCCTTTTGAGTTTGTTCCGTGTCTATTACAGTTTTAAGTATATGATTAAGAAAAAATCATTCAACTGTCCCAAGTGAGAAATCAATATATACTCAGAGTTTAATCCATAAACCACCATTGAACATTGAATTACGCTCAACTTGCCTACCAAAAGTAAATAACTTCACAAAAGTTAAGACCGCTTAAAATCTTCTTTAACTTGCAAAAGCTATTTCATTTCTGAACAGAAGCTTAAAGTGGCACTGAAGGGGGATTTTATTACAAACAAATTTTATGAGGGTGGGAAGAATTGGAAGAAATTTAACCCAACGCATTTCTGGCCGAAAGTAACTACCTGCTTCAACATACTGACTGACATACAATGATCACATCTAACACCACCAACCAACTTGCTCGTTCCACATATGGTCATCCTGGTTTTTATCAGTGACCATTGGCAACTGAACCGTTCTCACAGGCAGTACAACTGATATTATCCCCTGCCTTCTGTGCATAGAATCTTCGGTACATAGAATCAACTTCCGTGAGATAGTATGTGCCAGCAGGTAAGAGGCTACAGTCCTTGCTTGTCACAAAGTCCTTCGCTCCATACCTGTGCTCCATCAGCTTCATCGTTTCTACAAACTTCTCTGGAAAAAACTGCATCAAATGCACATGTTTAATCGGCATATCCATTGGCTAATCAAATGTATGACAAGACATCAGCTTTGAAGAATGTTACGAGGGCCTTGCAGTAAATATCACTGCAAAGTTTATTTCATTTAAAGTTATTGCATAAAACCATCATGTACATGATCAACTGTTCTCATACCAATTATTTCTTGGCTAAATGATTGGTATGTATGTCCCTTTTATAAATATATAAGTTCAAGTCTTAAACTGTTAATGTAGTATGTTTTTACTAAGAATTACTATGGTGGTACAGATGTCACCTAAAAGTAATTCAAATGTTCTCATATACATTCACCCTGCCGTCTTCGTGTAATGAATATAGCTGCTGCAAGTCAATCTCCTAACCAAATAAATACTCAGTGACTTGCATGGTAAAGCTCACCGGTCTACTCAAGAGGAGTTGAAAAACATCTGGCAAGAGTAGCTTTTTTTTTTCTGAGAAGGTATGGAAAAAGTTCTGAATGCTTGTACATGACATATTGAAAATAAAGTTATTGCACTAACTAGGTCCGTAATCAAACTTTTGGGAAGGTAAAGCAAGACGACCTGAGTGTTATGACGCACATTATTGTTGGATTTTTGTGTGTTTCTCAAAGAGGTTATAACTGAAAAATCAAAACATTTACGAGACGTGCAAAATTAGAACAAGAATTACCTCATGCCTTGCCTTCAACTTCCCAGCAACATTCATTACGGTTGCAATGTTTGATAAGCTAAAAGGATCACGAGTTTCACGGAGTTTCAATGAGAACATTGTTGCTGTCAGACCACTACCATATGAAAACAAAATTACCCGCTTTCCAGCCTGAAAGTTCAAATATAATCAGAATCCCAAGTAAATCATCAAGCAGAGGCAAATTGAACTTTACCAATGAAAAAACAAATTACCAATTCGTTGTGTTTGTTGTGAATAAGTGATGCAAATGCAGCGTATAAAGATGCTGTGTACATGTTTCCAACTTGTTTTGGTATCAAAGTGGTTGGTTGGACCTTGGAATCATAGAAGGCCTTTGCAACTTGTTGGGAAACCTTCAAGGAAAAAGAGAAGGCAACCATTAGCAAGAACATCAACTGGAAGAAGTGTTGTTTTTATGAGAAGCTTTCTTTCTTAATACAGTCAAATGGCCTTCATCGTTTTGTGTTATTCAAGGAAACACCTTAATGACTGGTTGTCATGATTTACAATAGGTAGTATCAAGAGGAATATACAAGCAGTCAACAAATGGAACATAAAATTAACTATCCAGTGCATTGCAAACCAAGGTTTAAATTGAAATTTAATTTATAAAAGCATTTTTCCATGAGTAGAGAATAAAGAAAAGAAAATAAACCTTTTCAAGATCTCGGTTTTGATAGCTTTCTTCACAAGATAAAGTTGAAAATGGCCCCAGCTTTTCTTTAGCCGCCTCGTCAATGGAGCTGCAAATATAAACAAATGGAATCAGTCACCAATAATAGATGGATCAAATTAGGGATTTTAGATAGGAGAAGCAAATAAACAAACCTGGCATTCCTCAAGAAATCATTAAACATCAAACGAGCGAAACTTTTCTGTACAAGCTGCAGAAAATTAGAATGGAAATAATCAGATACCATGTAGAACTATTGTTTTTGGTATCTTCATCATTTTTGAAAGAGATATTAGTTGCAGAACTATGATAAAAACATAACACACTTTGTTATATGGAGAATGGAAGACAAAGTAGGCTGCATCAGCAATGGAAAACTGTTTGCCCTCCAGTTTCTCAAACCTGAAGAGAGGAAGACGGTGAAGAAAACACAAAGCACAATTAATTAAAGAATGTCCGTAATGGGGAAAAAAGCATATAGTACAGTGTAGAAAAAATACCTACTTGTTACAGAAATACTTGTAGCAGGAATCAAGGGCCATAAGGTAGCATGTTTGAGAAAGTTTCCCGTCAACAACCTACGAACATACCATCGAAAAGAAAAACCATGAATACCAAAGAAGCAAGAAAAAAATCACTTCCACCAATATTGGCAAGCAAGTTTCTCACAAAGAAAAATTAAGAAAAGAATATTGGCAACAGACTGTAACCAGTTGCAAACTGAACCTGACCAGTTTACTTGGAGAGAGAAAATCATAGAATTATATG